ACAAACTCTTCGATTTCCAATATAACCCCAGCATCACCATCAGTTATCAGTCAATCACCCTCATCTCCTTTATCATCTTTAACAGCAGCTCCTTTATTGCCATCATATTTTGTTGATAATAACAGTAAACAAAAGAATTTAGAAGAAGATGATGTAGATGTTGAAGTGGTTGATGAAGAAGAAAATAAAAACAATCTAAATGTAAATAATAATAATATAAATAATGATGGCAATAATAATAAAAATAATAGTAGAAATAGTATTATCAAATCAAACAATATTGAAAATCAATTAAACACAAGCCAAGAATCTGATGCTGAAGAACATCTTAAAATAAAAATTAGAAAGAATATAAATAAAAACATTGGTATCGATGATGACGATGATGATGGCTGCACTCAATCTCCTTCTCCACAACTTTCCCCAACATCACAAGCACAAAAGCAAGTACAAAATTTAGATCAACAAGTGCAACAATCATTAAATCAACCTCAAAATCAACCACCTTTATCTCCACAACCAGAAAGAATCAACCAAAGTAAAAAAGAAGACTTTGATAATAATCAAACTGCCAATAATAATATTGATAGTAATAATAATTTAAATTCAAATTTAAATAGTGTAAATATAAATGATAATAATAATTATAATAACAATATAGAAAATAATACAGACAAAATTATGGATAATACAGAAAATAGTAATATGGATACCGATAAAAATATAGATAATAATAATATAAATATAGATAATAATAATTTGATTGGCAGCCACACTCCAAGAAAAAGAAGAATAGCTATTATGGAAGATAACGAAGATAAAGAAGTTATAATTGATTCACCCCAAAAAGTTGAACTACAATTAACCCAACAAACCAATAATAATGTAAATAATAATAATGATAATAATACAAATAGTAGTGGAAGCAATGATATTAAAATGGAAGATAAAGATAATATAATAGAAAAAAGGGCAAACAAACTAATTGTATCAGAAGATTTCGAAGTTGATATTTTAGACGATGATCCATCAAACCTAAACAATATAGATTCAAATAATAATAAAAATAGTATAAACATTGACAATAACTGTAAGAATGATAATAAAATAAATGAAATAATTATCAAATGTGAAATAATAGAACAACCAATAACACCACAAAAACCAATAGAAGATATTAAATTCAATCAAGTCATCAATAATGAAGAAAAAGAACGTGAAAACAGAGAAAGGGAAATTAGGGAATTAAAAGAAAGAGAACTACGTGAAAAAGAAATTAGAGAACAAAAAGAACGTGAACATAGGGAGAGGGAAATTATTAGGGAATTAAGGGAGCGTGAAAGAGAACGTGAAAGAGAACTTAAAGAACAAATTGAAAGAGAATTACAAGACCAACCAATGTTTATTGAAAAAGATGTAGAAATTGAAGATATTGAAAGAGATGACTCATCAACATCGAGTACGAGCGGTGGTAAACATCATCATCATCACCACCATCACAAGCACCGTCGTCATCACAAAAAGAGGTCACACAAACACAAAGACAAAAAAGAACATAAATCAAAAAAACATAAAATTTCAAAATCTGAATCTACAAATTTATTTGAATCCGATCAAGAAACTGAAGAAAGCGGGCCAGATGATATCGAGAACAATAATGATGACCGTTTATACTGTCTTTGTAAAAGGAAATATGACTCTAATATGTTTATGATTGCTTGTGACCGTTGTGACGAATGGTACCATGGTGCATGCGTAAATATTTCTGAAAAAGATGCCAAAAGAATTAAACTATATGTTTGTAAGGACTGTGTCCAAAAGAGAGAAAAAGAAAAAGAAAAAGAAAGAGAAAAAGAAAAAGAAAAAGAAAAAGAAATAAAAGAAATAAAAGAAATAAAAGAAGTTAAAGAAATTAAAGAGGTTAAAGAAATTAAAGAAATTAAAGAAGGTAGAGAAAGTAAAGAAAGAGATAGTAAAGAAAAAGACATCAAAGAAAGAATTGAAATTCTCAAACCCTCACCAATTATTAATTCAAGTCCATCACCAAAACCATTTAATGGCTTAGAGGCAAAAAAATTAACTTTATCCCCAATTTCACCATCATTATCATCACGTCATAATGGTGATCCTCACAATGGCACAGCTATAGTTGAAAAAGAAAAGACTATCCATCATAATCAGCATCATACAACCACAAGCCACAATATCGATTCTAAGAAATGCAGTATCCCAAGATGTCTCAACAATGCAAAATATAATTCAAAATATTGTGGTGACGATTGTGGAATATCTTATGCCAAAGAATTTTTATATAAGAATTCAAGTCATCTTCAAAAGAGTGCACTATTAGGCTCACAAGCTGTTGCTGCTGCTCCTGCTTCACCAAAAGATAGTTATAGAGAGAGGGAAAGGGAAAGAGAAAGGGAAAGAGAGAGAGAAAGAGAAAGAGAAAGGGACAGGGAAAGGGACAGAGAAAGAGACAGAGAAAGAGACAGAGAAAGGGACAGAGAAAGAGATAGAGAAAGAGACCGAGAAAGAGACAGAGAAAGAGAAAGAGACCGAGAAAGAGAGAGAGAAAGGGAAAGAGAAAAAGAAAGAGAAAAAGATCGTGAACGTGAGCGTGAAAAAGAAAAAGAAAAAGAACGCGAACGCGAACGTGAAAGAGAAAGAGAAAAAGATCGCGAACGTGAAAAAGAAAAGAGCGTGAACGTGAAAGAGAAAGAGAAAACAATATAACAATTCCGAGCAATATACCCTCCAGTCACAATCAAAATATTACCCAACATCATAATCATAATAGCACACCAAGCAACTCAATAAATTCAACAACTGGACTTTCATCTTCAAATAATGACGATAATGGAAAACTACAACTAATCTTTGCAAAAAGAATAGAAGTAGAAAACAGATTAAAAGATTTAGAAAAGAGAAGCTCAGAATTTGAAAAAAAGGTTAAACTAGCAAAAATAAGATTTGGATCATCCAATTTAGAACAATGTAATTTAAATAAAACTGAAAACCTGTATAATAGCCAATCAACAACTCCATCATCAACAAACAATATTCAAAACTGTATATTTCCCATTAAAGAATCAATATCTGGATATTGTGGTATAACCAATTGCTCAGAACACAATGGTTGGGAAAAAAAGAAAAGAGATTTTTTCGCACGAGAAATTTTTGTTCATGTAAGTTTTTTTTTATTTTTTTTTTATTTTTTTTTTATTTTTTTTACCAATTTAATATTAATTTTTTTTTTTTTAAATAATCATTAGACCAGAGTATTAAGAGAATTATCATTAGAAGAGAAACAAGTTCACCAAAGAATAGCTAGAAGAAAAAAAATAGCTCAAAACAATACAAATACCGAATTAGAAGTTTAAAAGGAACAACATTACAGTCCTCTCTATAATCCTTTTTTTTTTTTTTTTTAATTTTTTTTTTTAAAATTTTATTTCTTTTTATATAATATATATACTACCTCCTGCCTATATATTAAATCCTAAATAAATATTTAAATAAATCCTAATATTTAGCTCTATTTTTTTCTTGTGTTTTTTTTTTTATTTTTTTTTTTATTTTTTTTTAATTTAGTTATTATAAAAAACCTATTTTATTTTAAAAGGTTTTTATTTATAATAAACCAAATAATAATTTTTTAATAAATAAAAAATAACTTGATAAAATTTTTTAAAAAAAAACAATTAGGCTTTTTATTAAAACACCTTATTTAGAAAAATTATTTAAATCTCTAAATTTTTTTTTATTTAATTTTTTATTTTTTTTTTTTTTATAATTATTATAAATAAGAAAATTCAATTTAATATCATTAATTCAAATAAAAAAAATCAAATAATAAACCTCAAGAGTTAATCTTTATATTAAAACAAATAAAAAACTTAAAATGTTCGGTAGAAAAAACGAAAAAAGAAAACCAGTTATTGGAAGTGAAGATGGAATGTTCAATTGGAAACCAGAACAAGGTCATGACGACATGGTCCATAAAGAAGAAGATATGAAAAAAAATAGGGACTTGGAATTAGAAAGAGATGAAAACGAATTCAAATATTTTCTAAACAGTTAAAATATTTTTCAATCCCTAAAAAAAAAAAACTTAAAAAAAAAAAATAACTTAAAAAAAAAAAAAACTTAAATAAAAAAAAATAAACAATACAAAAAATATTTTAAATTTTGTAAATAATTAAATTTAACACCCACTTAACTTAATATTAATTTTTATCCTTTTTTTCGCTTTTTCCCCCTATTCCTCCTTTTTCCATTTTTTTTTTTAAATCTTTGATTAAAAATAAGAAAAAAATTAGAGAGAAACCTAAAAAGAGTATTTATTTAAATAATTATTGGAAAACAAGAGGGGATCAATTTGAAATAAACTCATTTTTTTACTCAAAATTATAAGAGTATTTATTTATTTATTTATTTAAAAGAGAGGTGAATACTCAAAAAAAAAAAATTGATACCTCTCTTTTTAAATTTTAAAAAAAAAAAAATTATAAAAGATTTTTCTTTTTTTTTTATTTTTATTATTATTATTATTTTTTATTTTTTAACAATTTTTTTTAAAATTTTTTTTTATTTTTTTTTAAAATTTTTTTAAAATTTTTTTTATTTATTTTTTTTTTTTTTTTATATTTAACAAACTCACATAAATTTTTATATATATTGTATAAAATGGCCACAAAAAAGAAAGTTTTATTAAAAGTAATAATCAAAAAAAAAAAAAAAAAAAAAAAATCATAAATAATCCCATCGACGACAATTAATATATTTATATATTGTCTATAACAACAACAACTATAGTAAAATAATAAATTAACAAGTAATTCAATTATACTAATTTAATTTCTTTTTTTTTTTTTTTTTTTTTAAAAAAAAAATATTAATAATATAATAATAAAAATAATAATAATATAATAAATTTTTATTTGTATTTTTATTCTTCTTCTTTAGGTTATTATTCTTGGTGACTCTGGGGTAGGTAAAACCTCACTTATGAACCAATATGTCAATAAAAAGTTCAGTAATCAATATAAAGCTACCATTGGGGCTGATTTCCTTACCAAGGAATTAATGGTTGATGACAGAGTTGTCACCATGCAAGTAAGTAGAAATTTTTTTTTTTTTTTTATAATTTAAACAAATATTAATAAGTTATTTAATTATTATTTTAGATTTGGGATACAGGTAAATAATATACATATTTTTTTCTTTTTGTCGTTTTATTATAATTTTTTTCTTTATCAAATCAAGTTAATATGGATTATATGGTTAGGAATTCAAATAAATTATCAATTTATAAAGTTTTTTTATACAGAGGACACCTCATTTTTTAAAAAAAATCGAAAAATATTTATAACTTTTTTAACCAGCTCCAAGAAAGAAAAAAAAAAGCAATACAGAAAATTAGTTTCATAATAATATGAAAAATTGTTATAATAATAATATGATAATATCAATAATATGGAATAGGTTTTCATTTTTTTTTTTTTTTTACCAGTGATCAATAATCATGCAATTCACAAGATTTTTTTCAAAAGAATTTTCAATATATTATTATTTTTTTTTTTTTTTTTGATTTTTTTTTTTTTCTCGAAAAATCAAACAATTCACTTATTAATATATTTTTTTTTAAAAATATCCAGCTGGTCAAGAACGTTTCCAAAGTTTAGGTGTTGCTTTTTATCGTGGTGCCGATTGTTGCGTTTTATGTTATGATGTCAATGTTGCTAAAACATTTGAAAATCTCGACTCATGGAGAGATGAATTTTTAATCCAAGCCGGTCCACGTGATCCAGATAATTTCCCATTTGTTGTATTAGGTAACAAGATCGATTTAGAAAATCAACGTGTTGTTTCACAAAAAAGAGCTGCTTCATGGTGTCAAAGCAAAGGTAACATCCCATACTTTGAAACCTCCGCCAAAGAGGCCATTAATGTTGAACAAGCTTTCCAAACTATTGCCAGAAACGCCATTAAATTAGAAGACGGTTTAGTTTTCCCAATCCCAACTGGTATCCAAGTCCAACCAGAACCACAACCACAACAATCTGGTTGTTGTTAAACACGTACAATGCTAATTTTAAATATTAATTTTTTATTCCCCCAACTTTTTTTAAAATCATGACCAATGATATGATAACCATTAAATATACACAAAAAAAAAAAACCCTTTATAAAAAAACCAAAAAAAAAAAAACCAAAAAAATGCAAAAATCCTATAAATAAAAAAAAAATATATGTTTTATTAATCAATATTTCAATTGTTTATAAAAAAGTTTATTAACTTTTTTCTTTTTTTATTACTATTTTTTTTTGTGTTTGTATATGTGGTTAAATTTTTCTTTTATTTTTTTTTTATTTTTATTATTTTTATTTTTTTTTATTTTTTTTTTTTTATTTTTTTTTTCTAAAATTTAAATTATTAAATTATTTTAAAATTTTATGAATATAATAGTTTTTTAAATAAATAAATAAAATTCATTGTATTAATTAATAAATAAATATACATATAGTAATAAATAATATAGAAAATACAATTGTAGCAAGATAGTAATATCGCAACAAAATGTTTTATAAATATAATCAATGGGATCCAAAATTAATTATTGGACAAATAATATCTGTACAGTGTCTTTATTATATAACGTTAGCAGCAGTTTTATATATATTGGATTCGGTATTTACATCCTCAACATTAACATTGGACCAAATGTTTAGGTATCAAATGTTAAATGCGCATTCTAACGAAGGAAGGGTGGTTTTAAGTTCATTTATAATAAATTCATTTTTAGGGTAAATAATAATACAGATACACATTGCGAAACAATATCTACAGGTTATTAATTTAGTTTATTTGTTCTATATAGATCATTTTTTTTAAAATATATAGTTGAAAGATCAAAGAAATGTTTAGATCATTCAGCAACAGTAACATTTATACATTTTGTAGTTGTTTGGTTAGTTTCAGGATTTCCAAAAAGTATTGCATGGTGGGCAACTCATTTAGTTGGTATGGTTTTAATGGCAATGGTTGGCGAATATTTATGTATGAGAAAGGAATTAATGGATATACCTTTATCAAGAGGCAAAGAGGTAGATTCAACACCAATAGTAATACCTCCATCACCACATACAAATTCACCAATTTTAAATTCAAAAAATAATGGAGGTGGTATTAATCTCACCAATAATAATAATAGCAGTTCAAATAAATATCAACCAATAGAGCTTGAAATTATCGAGCAAGGAAAAGAAGACTAAAGAAAATAATATAGATAGATAGTAGTGGTTGTTGTTGTTGTAAATATTTAATAAAGGATAATCGAATAAAAATATTATAAATATATTATAATATTCTATTTTTTTTTTTTCTTGTTTTAATAATTTAAATTTTAGTTTTTATTATTTTATATACAAACTTTTTGTTTTATAAAAAGTTATTTATTTTATATATTTTATTTTTAAAAGGCAATGTTTATATCTTCGTCAAATTGATTTGTTGTGGCTAAAATGAAAAATTCTACCAAGTGTTGTTGTGAACCAATTGGAATAATATGGGTGAATGATAACAGACCTTCTTGAGTTAGGGTAAGACGGGTTTTTTTTGCTAATGTTAAAGCTTTTATGCATGGTTTAATGAGAGCCAATTGATAGTTGAAATTTATGTTGTTTGAAAGATCAAAGAATTCGAAAATTTCATCTGGGGTATCTTTTTTGCAATATTCCATTTTAAATGATCCCATTTGACCAGATGTTGATAATACAAAGAATGGTGATTCTGGTGTTAAGGCTATATTTAAAATGGTTGAAGTAAAGTCCAATTCTCCAAATGCTTCCAATAGATTTTCCGATTCGATAAGGATTTTATTTGAAACTGGTGTTATTAAATCAAATTCTAATGTATCATCTGCTTCTAATGTTTTGATTGAGCAATGTGTTTCTACGCCACCATTACCCTCCTCTAATAAAAGTACTAATGGTGAACCATAACCTTTATAAAGAAACTGAACCTGTGTATATCCCGAGTTACCAAAAATTGTTAAAGAATCTAAAATCATTGATAAACTAATCCTAAACATTACTTCTTGCTGGTTTTGATCTGCAACTACTCCTGTAAGATTTGGTGTGAAATGATACTCTTGAAAGAAAGTGCTTTTAAATGAAACACGGCCTTGATAGTGTTTACCCTCCTCTACTATGAAATGTATACCTGCTGGTCCAATTTTAACTGTTACATATTGCTAAATGTATTAAATTAAATTAAAAATTAAAATTAATACATCTATATTTATATGGTTGATATATGTTTTAATCTTTACATACCTGAATATCTTTTTTTTTATTTTTATCTGTCTCTGGTTTATAAATTGTATTTAAAACTTGTGATATATCATATGCATTTTCAGCTTTTGCCACAAATGTTAATGTTTCGCTTGTATTGGATGGATCAATACCATCATTCATTGGTGATAATAGTCTATTATTAATTGATCCTACACCTGGGGTGTTCATTTTATTATTTGGTATATATTTATTTATTTAAATGGTTTTAATATCTATTGAAATGAAAAAATAATTAAATAAAAAAATAAAATTTAAAATTTAAAATATTTTTAAAAAAGTTTTTTTTTTTTTTGATTTTTTCAATTTATTAAAAATTTTCTTGGAATGTATTTAATTTCTATAAAATATTATTTTAAATTAAACAGTAGTATTTTTTAAGGAAATCTTTCTATATTTGTTTTATTATTTACTTTAAAATAATATTTAAATTTATGCACCTCTATTTATTTTCGAAAATATGGTAATGGATATCCAGTTGGGTTTTTTATTACATTTATTATAAAATTAATAAATACACCGGAAATAATTTTTGTTATCACTAACATATCTATTTATAAAGTGTGTGTATTTAAAATTAATTATCAAAATAATTTTCTTCGTTAGGTAAAATTCTTAAATTACTGGTATAATCCGAAACGATTGTTGAAATTATCAATATAGAAAATAACATTTGAAATAACCTTTGGTGTCACATGATATAAGGTTTATTATTTATTGTTTTAAAATTATTTTTTATAAATATGATTGGATAATATTTAAGAAATAAATTGTGTGAATATTAATTAAAAATATAAAAATATAAAAATATAAAAATATTAAAAAATATAAAAAAAATGAAAATATAAAAAATAAATTTTTTTTTTTTTTTTTTTTTTTTTTTTTTCGTTTTTTTTTATTAAAATAAAAATAATAGAAATAATAATATCATTCAATAATAACAGTAAAATAATAATAGTAATATTGTAGCATTATAATCATTATTTTTTAATAAAAAAGGAAATGAATAAAATAAAAATTTTAAAATTAAAAAATTTCCCAATTTTAAAACAATTGCAATTAGAAGAAGCTTTATATAGAACACCAAATACAGGTAATTGGATTATTTTAAATGAAGGAACACCCGAACCAATCGTAATTGTGGGTGTATCGGGCAAAGCTGATAAATTAGTAAATTTAAAACAAACAAAGGAAAGAAACATTCAAACAATGAGACGTTTTTCAGGTGGTGGTACAGTTGTAGCAGACGAAAATACAATTTTTTCATCAATTCTATTGGAGTTCAATTCATTCAAACAGTTTTATCCACATATGAAATCATTTTACCCAAAAGATATTATGAAATGGTCAGCTGAACATTTTTACAATAAAGTTTTTATACCACATCAAGATTTTTCATTACAAGAGCATGACTATGCATTTGGTGAACGTAAATTTGGTGGAAATGCCCAATCATTTTGCAAAGAAAAGTTTTTACATCACACCTCATTCTTGTGGGACTTTAAAGATGACAATATGATGTCTTGTTTGAAACAACCCGAAAAAATACCAGAATACAGACAAAATAGAGATCATTTATCTTTTCTTTGCAAATTAAAAGACCGTTATCATACCAAGGATCAAGTTTTTAATAATTTTATTCAAACTATCAATAATATACCCTCTTTACATTCAATTGAAGAGGTATCCCTAAAAGATGCAGAATCATTTTTACAAAATAATCACTTTAAAGCAAACCAAATTTATAACTATAATTTAAATGTTTGGGAAAATATTAAAAATGATTATAATAATATATAATAAAAAATAATATAATATTTAATTAATAAAAAACTTTTTTTTTTTTTTTTTCATTATTTTCATTTTTAAGGTCACGTTTTATTTTTTTTATTTTTTTTGTAAAATAATAAATGAAAAAAAAAAAAACCGAATTAAATTTAAACCCATAAATTTAATTTTTTTGGGCCTCATATTTTTTTGATTCTTGTTTATTTTTTCAAATCAGACCTTACTCTTTGGATCATTTCTATTAGTATCGTCTATTAAAATTATTCATCAATAATTTTTCTCAAAAACCCCACGGATGAAGATGCACATTCACTTTACATAAGCGGGAAGCCGAGTAATAGTTTTGATTCTATCATTTCTATTATTCATTGATGATCGTCTATCTCAGGGATGAGATGGTTGTAAGGTGAAATTCTTACGTGGATTTTTTATAAATAAATTAAAGAAAAAACAACATATAAATATAATAATATTTATTTTAATCACCCATTTTTTAAAAAAAAAATATTATAATTTGTTTTTTTTTTATATATTTTTTAAAAAAAACAATTCATTCAAAGTTGGAAAATATAGGATTAGTTTCATTAATGAACTCTCTTCCCCACGAAATCAATGTTGCTTCATCTGGTAGCACCTCGTTTTCTGATAATGAATCAGCTTGGTAATAGTTTAGGTGGCTCTGTTATATCAATTCATGTTAATCAAAAAAAAAAAAAAATATTTTATACAATTAGTAATAAAAATATTCAAATTAACTGGAATAATAAATGATTAAACAGAAAATTTAATGTAAAAAAAGATTTTTATTTTTTCAAAAAAAGGTATTTATTTTAGTTTTAAAAAAAAAGATGTAAAAAAAAATAATAAATACTTTTTTTTTTTTTTTTTAAATTATTATTTTATATTGTTATTGATTTATTCGCTTTTTGATGAGGATGAATCATCGTCTACTTTTTCTTCGTTTTCGCCAACTGTATTGTTGTTGTTGTTGTTGTCATTATCAATACTATTATTGACTTCTGATTCGTTTTCTTTTGTTGATTTTTTGAGTGGTGTTTTAATTTCGTCATGATTTTCAAGTTTATTTGCTTCATTCATTAATTCGATTAATTGTTCTAATGAAATACCGTCATGTTTAGCCTTGGCAAGTTTTCTTAAATAAACACTGTTTTGTGGACCAGTTTCTGAAACTAACCAAGTTAAAAGACCTTCTGGATTTTGTAAAAGGGTCCATGGAGTATCAAACTCTGAAATTTTACCAGCATCTAATACCATAATACGATCTGAATCCATAATTGTACCTAATCTATGGGCAATAGTAAGAATTGTGCAATTATTGAATTTTTCTCTGACACATTTTTGGATTAATGAATCAGTATTACCATCAACTGAAGCAGTTGCTTCATCGAGTACTAAAATTTTTGGTTTTCTAAGTAAAGCACGACCTAAACAAATTAATTGTCTTTGACCAACACTAAAGTTATCACCATTTTCAGTAACCTTACAATCTATACCACCTTCTAATTGTGAGACGGCATTGTTTAATTGAATATCTTCGAGTAAAGCCCAAAGTACAGAATCTTCATGTTCGCCAAATGGATCGAGATTGTCTCTTAAAGTACCAGAGAATAAAACTGGATCTTGTGGAATAATACTTAAATTACGACGTAAATCTTTTAATCCAAATTTAGAGATATCATCACCATCAATTAAGATACGACCTTCTGATGCTTCAACTAAACGGAAAAGACCTAATGCAATTGAACTCTTACCGGCACCTGTTCTACCAACGATACCAATCTTTTCTTTTGGTTTAATTTCACAAGAAATACCTTTTAATACTGGATCTAAACCTTCACGATAACGCATAATTAAATTGTCAAAAGTGATTGAACCATGTTCTGGCCAGTTTGGTGGTGGACGAACATCAGTAATTTGAAGGGCTTCGACTGGACCTCTGATGTAATGGGTAATACGTTCGACAGAGTTCATTTTAGTTTCGGTATCAGCAGCTTGTAAAGTAGCACGATTAAGATTACTTGTTAAGGTTAAGGCATAACTGAGGGAAAGACCTACATATGCAGTTGAAATTGTATCCTTGTCGATTGTAATGAATAAACAGGCAAAGAAAGTAATTAAATTTGCTAAGAAATCCAATCTTAAACCTAACCATTGATTCATAGCTTGAAGAGTTAAATAACATTTATTATTATTATCCAAACGGTATTGATTTGTTAAAATATTTTCTTGTTCTTTCTTGTAGGCTCTGATTGAAACGACACCATTTAAGGTTTCAGAGAAATGTGAGAAAATTGGTGAACGTGAAATAGCTTCTAAACGTTGTAATTCTCTGGAGGTGAAACGATAGAAATATTGTAAGATGTAGAAAATGATAATGATTGGGGCTAATGGGATCAAAAGGAATGGAGTAATAATTGAGATGATAATAAGTGTAGCAATGACAGTTAAGAAGAAAACAAAGAATTGATTGATTGCTGCGGCGATAAGATTATCAATACCATCGAGATCTCTGGTGAAACGATTGATGATACGACCTAATGGAGTAGTATCAAAGAACCACATTGGAGCTCTTAAAAGTGCTTCGAATAATTGATGATGTAAGGCTCTTGAAGCTCTGACAGTGTAGTCAAAGAATATAAAGTTACGACAAGCAGAGAAAACAATGGATGCTACACCAAGACCAATATAAATACCAAGGAATTGAATATTAGTGAGACCAGAATATGGTTCACCAGAGTAACTACTACCATCAGCTGCGTTAATCTTAATACTTTCACTTTGCCAATGGGATAACCACCAATCTACAAATGTACGTGTACCAGTATCTAAAAGGAAGAAAACAAATGCAATAAAGAAAACAAAACCTCCACCAACTGTGAAATATTTCCAATATACCCAGAGAGCAACAGCACCTTCTTCTCTTTCTTCTTGTGAGGTAAGAGTACCATCTTTATTTTTCAAAACTGGTTTTTCTAATTCTTTATTCTTTTCTTCGATAAGGATTTCTTCTGAATCTAATGGTAAAACCTCTTCACTTCCATCAGTGATTGATGTTTCATCGACACCATACTCTTGAAGTAAAACTGAAAACTCTTTTTGTGAATTAACCAATTGTTGATAAGTACCTTTTTCACTAACTTGACCTTCTTTTAATACATAACAATAGCTTGCAAATGGAAGATAATTAAGTTGATTGGCTGCAAGGATAACGGTCTTATTTCTTAAAACACCTTTGAAACATTTGTGGAAAAGATGTTTACCGACATGAGCATCAACAGCAGATAATGGATCATCTAAAATGTAAACATCGGCATCAGCATAAACAGCACGAGCAATAGATACACGTTGTTTTTGACCACCACTAAGATTTACACCACGTTCACCAATTTCGACTAAATCACCTTGTGGGAAAAGTTCGATATCACGTTCGAGAGCACATACTTCTAAAACTTTTTTATATTTGGATTCGATATATGGTTTTCCAAATAAAATATTATCTTTAAGAGAGGCATTAATAATCCATGCTTGTTGTGCAACATATGCGATTGAACCTTTAATTGAAAGCTCTCCCTCTACCATATCCATTTCACCCAATAAAGCTTGAAGTAATGAAGATTTACCTGAACCAACTGAACCAACAACCATTGTTAAACTTGGTCCTGAGCAACTAATATCCATATTCTTAAGACCAAATGTTTCGTCTTTCTTTGCAGAATTCCAAGAAAGGGTTGCATCCTTCATATAAACACCATTTGGTACTGATTCATCAGTGATTTCATTTACACGTTTCATTTCTGGTAATAATAAAAATTCTGTAACACGATTAGCTGCGACTTGCATCTGAACCATAAGTGCAACAATAATTGGAAGGAAACCTAATGGAACACGAAGAATATTTAAATAAGCTAAAGCTGCAAAAATTTCACCAGCATCAAATGTTTCACTAACACCATAATAAGTTGAAAATACTAAAACTGAAACTGCAGTTGGAAGAGCTGCTACAAAAACAATTAAAACTGCTCTATAACGTGAAAAAGTAAATAATAATTTAATTTCAGCTTCTCTTCTTTCGATAACTTTCTATATAATATTTTAAAAATAATGAAAAATTGTTAATAAGTTTTATTAATTTATTTGATATTATTTTAATACTATTCACTTACTCTTGCAAAACTATCTTCCCAAGCATATAATTTAATAATTTTGATTGCTTGTAAAATTTCATTTGTTGTTTTAACACGAATATCTGTAAATTTAACCATACTCATTCTAACTGCCATTAATTTCTTTGCTACAATACCATTGAATGGAACTGCTATAATCATTAATGCTAAACCTATGAATGTGGGCCAACCAATTGCACGATATAATAATACAATTGAAACAATAATTTGTGGAAGTGCAAAAACACCATTATTTACCAATTGGAATACCTCAACCATACGCTGAGCATCATTACTCATTAAATTTACAATTTGACCTGGTGATGTACCAGCTCTAGCTGAATTTGATAATCTTAATGCTTTTTTATAAACATCTAAAACAATAACTGATCTTAACTATAAAATTAAAAAAAAAATTTTAAAAATTAGTAAAATTAAAAATTATAATTACTATTTTTTTTTATTTATTATCTATTATTTGTTTATTAATTATATATATATATATATATTAAACTTACACGATCACCAGTTCTTGCTGAAATCATATTTGATTGATATAAACAAAATGAACCAACCATACCACTACCAAATAAAATTAATGCATAATAATAACCCATATTTGGATCTTCATCGGAAACACCTAATCTGCTTAGTGTTACAAACTTTACCATTCTCTTTAAAATTTCTGGACCTACAAACTGTGATGCTGCGTAAAATGCATAGAAAAACCAACTCAACATAAAATATAAACCAAATGCTCTGAATGCTGCTCTCATATAATATTGTCTAAAATAAAAAAAAAAATTAAAATTAATATTTTAAATTTTTATAAATAATGATAATCATTATAATAAAAAAATATACATACTTTGGTTTTGTTAATTCGACTTCCCATGATTCTCTAATTTTTTTTTCTAAAAATTCAGATTTATCGTATGATGCTAAATCCCAAATGTGCTCGAGTTGTAATACATGTCTGAAACAATGATAAACAAATTTATCGGCCCATCCAAATGTTGCTTTTGATATAAACCATGCGTTTTCTTCGGCTGATTTTTTACCGCCGAAACCAATTTTCTTTTCTTTCTTTTCTTTCTTTGATTTTTTATCTAATTTGTCGCCTGGTGTATGTGGCTCTAATTCCACCTCTTTGAAGGAATCATCTCCACTCATAGTTTCTTTCTTTTTTATAATCTTTCTTTTTCCTTTACAAAAGACAAAAAAAAAATTATAGAAAAAAAAAACTTATACTAAATTTATAAAAAAAATAAATAAATAATAAATGCAATAATAAATATATATTATAAATATACAATTATACTATTATACTATTATACTATTATACTATTATATTACTAAAATGAAAAATTAAAAACTAATTAATTAAAATTATATTTTTTTTTTTTTTATTTTTAATTTTTTTTTTTTTTTTTTAAAAAAATCTTAATTATTTTTATAGATCTATAAAAAATTAATTATTATAAATTTTATAAATAAATGAATAAATAAATAAGCAATACAAATTTATTTTTATTATTTTGTTGTTATTTATAAATAAGAGAATAAAAAAATAAAAAAAAAAACTATAAATAAGAATCTTGTGGAACAAAAGTTTTTTTTTTTTTTTTTTAAATTTTTAAATTTTTATTTTTTTTTTTATTTTATTTTTTTATGCAACAATTACGTTTTTGCAAAATTTTTTTGCAAGGGTTATATAAATACACAAAAAAAAATATAAAAATAATTTTCTATCTAAAATAGGAAATGGCATCATTGAAATTTATTTATATCACCATCCCAAAATTTATTTATATTTTTTTTTCAATTTAAAAATAATTTTTTTTAAATAAAATGGTCTAAAAATCTCAAAAAAAAATATTTTTAACATAAACAAAATAAAAATTTAACCCCAACTATTATGAGTATTTTATAAAAAAAAAATCAAATAGTTATAAAACCTAATCATTATGACACTTTTTTCATCAAAAATCAACACATCAATTTTATTTTTTTTTTTTTTTCTCACATTTTCAATTATTTTTTTTATAATACAACCCACTCTTTCGCTAAAATCAATTATATGTGTCTTAAAAAATTAACTTTTTATAATTTTCGATTTGTTTTTTTAAGTAAAAACAAATTATTACCAATCAAATAATTTTATTTCTTTGATTATAATTATTATTATTATTAATATTATTATTGACATAAAAATTATTTTATTTAAACCAAAATATTTTCCAAAGAAATATCCAAATGGTTCTAATTGCAATTTGTTCAACTCGGCCCAGATTAAAAAACTTTTCTTTTTTTTCAATTTTTTTTTTTTTTGGATGGATAACGATAATCATAGACATAATAATTGATCATTTGCTACCCAATTCAAAACACTGTTGATATAAAACTTAATAATTTTTTTTTTAAAATAAATATTACACAAAATAAAAAATTTTGAAAGCTACAACAAATTGTTGTAAAAATTTTAATTTTTTTATTTTTTTAAATTATATATATTTCATTAAATATTCTTTCATTAAATATTCTTTTATTATTTACTATAAATTTATTTATTATTTTAATAAATTTGGTTAGTAATAATTAAAATATTACAATAAATTTGATTATTGGTAATAACTAATCAAACCGATTATTTTAATTTTTTTCTTTAATTTTATTTGAAATGAATGTACACCAAGTATAATAGTAGCAAATTTCTATTTAGGAAGAATTTCGCCGTGGAAATAGTGACTTTCTCTCTGTCCGTGAAAAAAACCTCTTACAAATCTTTATATTGTATTTGGCGGATTAGGACAATCTTTCATGTAAAGAACTCTAATGAATATATTTCTGTAAAATATTATTTTATTTTTTATAGAGTTTATGGGACATTTTATAGTTTAAAAAAAAAAAAATTATTTTCATTTTTTTTTTTTTATCGTTAAAATAAATAATTATAAACCATTTTTAAGTTTAATTATAAAATAAATAAAAAATTGTTTAATATCTTCTTTTTGTTTTATTTGTTTATTTTTTTTATGTAGAATTTAAGGTTTTTTTTTCTTTAATTTTATTTGAAATAGATGTACACCAAGTATAATAGTAGCAAATTTCTATTTAGGAAGAATTTCGCCGTGGAAATAGTGACTTTCTCTCTGTCCGTGAAAAAAACCTCTTACAAATCTTTATATTGTATTTGGCGGATTAGGACAATCTTTCATGTAAAGAACTCAAATAATAAAATTTTCGTAAAAAAAAAACAGTTCAATATCTAAGCTTATGGTATTTTCATTAATATTTTATGAAATTAAAAAAATAAAAATAAAAAAAAAAAATATAAAAAAAACTATTATTAAATATACTTTTTATTTATTATTATTAATTAAATATTTTGTTTATTATTATTATAATTATTATTATTATTATTAAAATTTTTTTTTTTTTTTTTTTTTTTTGTATCTTATTTTGATGAATTGAAATTGATAAAAATAATTTTTAGGTATTTTTTTTTTTAGATTTGATTTTTTGATAAGCAGGTACTCTGAATAAAAATAATTTTAAGTTGTTTTGTTTGAAAAAAAAGAGCAATAGTTTTACCATTGTTTCTACAAGAATCACCTTTAATTAAAAACTCTGTATAAATTTCAACTTTTCTAGCACTAATAAAACTGATGAAACTGCTTCAGTTTAATTGAACCAGAACCAGAACTAACTAACTCACCAAACAACAACACCTCTGTGGAAACTTCCTCTTCCACCAATAGTACCAGTTTATCCGAAGCTCAACAACAGATAACTCTTCATCAACAATAGTTTTATTTATCTCATCATTTTTAATTACTTTATTTAAATAAAAATAAATTATACCTTAATAATAAATAAACAATAAAAAAATTGAAAAAAATTTATTTAAAAAAAAATATATTTATTTTTAACCCACTATACTTGATTTTTTAAATGCTTGACCTTATTTCCCCAATTTGTCTTATTGAATTTATTATTACTAAACAATAAATTTATTTATTTTTTTAAATTTTATTATTTATTATTTTTTAATTTTTTTTTTTATTTTTAAAATTTTTTTTTTCATTTCTTTTCATTTCATTTTTTTTTTATTTCACAGTTTAACAACATGTTAAGAAATTTAGTTCAAAGTTTAAATAAAATTAATTTAAGAGTTGCATCAGCTCCAGTTAATAACTCAACTCCATTTTTACAATCATTTTTAGCTGGTAGTGCTCAACCATCACAACCAAAGTTTGAGTTACCAATTAACCAACAAAGCAATGATTTAGAATGTATGATGAATAAAACTTCAAGAAAAACCTTAAAGAAACACAGAAAGAAGAAAGGTATCAAACAAAATTTAAGAAGATGTTAGGTTTAAACAAAATATAAATGGATATCAAATAAATAATTTTTTGAAAAAACAAAAAGGTAGGTTTATTATTTATCATATTTAATAATTCATTTAAATCATTTATTAATTTTATTTTTATATAAAAACTAAACCAAAAGTAACAATAAATAAAACAAATTTAAAGTCTGTAGACTCTTATAAAAAAAAAGTTCAAAAAATAAAAAAATAATTGTAAAAAATAAATATTCAAAAAAAAAACATATGTATCTTTTTTTTTATTTTTTTTTTTATAAAACTAATTTCAATTAAATTTGATAGTGAACAAATTATTATTACTCTTTAATTACAATTAAAAATCATATTATTTATTTATTTTTTTTTATAAAAAACCGAAAATCTTTTTTTTATTATTTTTTTTTTTTTTTTAATTTTAAATTTTAAAATTTTTTTTTTTTTCTTTTTTAAAAAGATTTCGTTCGTTTAATCATAAATTATTTGTTTAATATCTTTTTTTTTTTTTATTATAAACTAATTATTAAAAAAAAAAATGGTATCATTTATTACAAATAGATTAGCTAGTGGTTTTACTACTTTAAACAAAACTGGATTAATTTCAAGTTTAAATAACTCAACCAATGGTAGATTATCAATCCTTAGACATTATTCAGCCTATCAAAAGAATCTTAGAAATATTGGTATCTCAGCACATATTGATTCAGGTAAAACTACTTTAACTGAACGTATTCTTTATTACACTGGTCGTATTAAGGAAATTCACGAAGTTAGAGGTAAAGATGGTGTTGGCGCTAAAATGGATTCTATGGATTTAGAACGTGAAAAAGGTATTACTATTCAATCTGCCGCCACTTATTGTAAATGGGGTGAAAATCACATCAATATTATTGATACACCAGGTCACGTCGATTTCACAATTGAAGTAGAAAGAGCTCTTCGTGTTTTAGATGGTGCAGTTTTAGTTATGTGTGGTGTCAGTGGTGTCCAATCTCAAACCATTACTGTAGATCGTCAAATGAGAAGATATAACGTTCCACGTCTTGTTTTCATTAATAAATTAGATAGACTTGGTGCCAACCCATGGAATGTCATTGAACAACTCAAAAAGAAACTTAATCTTAACGCTGTTGCTCTTCAAATCCCAATTGGTAAAGAAGCAAACTTAGAAGGTATTGTTGATTTAATTAAAGATAAGGCTTATATTTTTGGGTCCAAAAGGGTAATTATTTTAATTTATTTTAAAATTTTAATTTAAAATATTAATATTTTTATTTTTTTATTTTTTAGATCTGAAATTGTTGTTGAAGATATTCCATCAGGTTTAGCCGAATTTGCTAGAGAAAAGAAAATCGAATTAGTTGAAACTATTGCAAATGTCGATGATCAATTAGGTGAATGGATTATTGAAAACGATTTCCCAACTAATATGCCAGATGAAGCCTTATTAAATGAAGCAATTCGTAGAACTACTATTGCTCGTACAGTTGTACCAGTTTGTATGGGTTCAGCTTTCAAAAACACTGGTGTTCAACCATTATTAGATTCAGTTATTAAATTCTTACCATCACCAACAGATAGAAAGATTGTTGCTCTTGATACCTCTGTTAAAGATAAAGAAACTGAAGTTGAACTTTATACTGACCCAAAGAAACCATTTGTTGGTTTAGCTTTCAAATTAGAAGAAGGTCGTTTCGGTCAATTAACATATATTAGAGTTTATCAAGGTACCTTAAAGAGAGGTGATATGATCAAAAATGTAAATTTAAATAAAACAATTAAAGTTCCACGTTTAGTTAGAATGCATGCAAATGAAATGGAAGAAGTACAAGAAGTAGGTGCTGGTGAAATTTGCGCTATGTTTGGTGTCGATTGTTATTCAGGTAATACTTTTGCAAATCAAAATCTTTCATACACTATGACTTCAATGCACGTCCCAGAGCCAGTTATGTCTTTATCCATCGCACCAAAAACTAAAGATGGTCAAGCTAATTTCAGCAAAGCTCTTAGCAAATTCCAAAAAGAAGATCCAACTTTCAGAGTTGAATCAGATCAAGATTCAGGTCAAATTATTATCTCTGGTATGGGTGAACTCCATTTAGAAATTTACGTTGAACGTATGAAGAGAGAATACAATGTAGAAACTGTCGTTGGTAAGCCATTAGTAGCTTACCGTGAAACTATTCAAAATAGAGGTGACTATTCATTCACTCACAAGAAACAAACTGGTGGTCAAGGTCAATACGCTAAAATGATTGGTTATGCTGAACCACAAGAAAATATGGAAAACGAATTTGTTAATGATGTCGTTGGTACTGCCATTCCACCAAACTTTGTTGAAGCTATTAGAAAAGGTTTCAATGATTCAATTACTAAAGGTCCATTAATTGGTCATCCAGTTGTTGGTGTTAAATTTGTTGTTAATGATGGTGCTACTCACAGTGTCGATTCTAGTGAGTTAGCTTTCAGAATTGCTACCGCTGGTGCTTTCAGAGAAGCCTTTGACGAAGGTACTCCAAGTATTCTCGAACCAATTATGAAGGTAGAAGTTGCCATCCCATTAGAGTTCCAAGGTCCAGTTATTTCAGGTATTAATCGTAGAAAGGGTGCTATCACAAATACTACATCACAAGGTGAATCAGTTACTTTCGAATGTGAAGTTCCATTAAATAATATGTTTGGTTACTCTACTGAACTCCGTTCAATGACTCAAGGTAAAGGTGAATTTTCAATGGAATACTTAAAACACAACCAAGTCTCACGTGAACTTTTCAATACTCTTACTGAAGAATTCAAAAAGAAGAGAGAAGAAGGTAATAAATAAATCATTCAATTAAAAACTTTTTGATTAAATAAAATAAATAAACAAATTAAAAAAAAATTAAAAATTTAAAAAAAAAAAAAAAAAAGGATATAAATAGTTATATTTTTTAAAATAGTTTTTTATTTATTGTATTAAAAATATAATTATTAAAAATAGCAAATTTAAAATATAAAAATTTGTCAATAATCTTGTGGATAGCTGGTATGGTGTATCCTCTTCAAGGTGAATAGTGTTTAAACATAAATAGGAGGGGCTACTTATATGGTCGCCTACTTGGCATGTTCCATTTAGTTGGTGACATCGAGTACCACATTTTATTTTTTCATATTGACATAAATATCCATAGTATCCTTGTGGGCATATACATTCTTTATTAATACAAACTCCTCCATTTCTGCATCCAAGATTTGAACAGTCTCCTTCCTCTGGGTTATATTTATAAGATGCATATGCATCAAATAAACCAAATCCATTGTAAACATCTGGGTGGGATGAGTTTGATGCACTTCTAACTACTGCATCATAGATTTGATATGGGGTCCAGTTGGGATGGGCTTGTATTAATAATGCAATACCTCCAGCGACGATTGGGCAGCTAAAGCTTGTCCCGTTATAATAAACATAGTTGGTGGTATTCATTATTCCTGCTAAATATACTTCATTTCCTAAAGCCATAACTTCAGGTTTGATTCTTGAATCACTGCTTGGTCCTACAGAGCTAAAATCTACTCTCTTGCCTTTTGCATCCACTGCCCCGACTGCTATTACATAGTTTCCATCGGCTGGTGCTCCTAAACCATCCTCACCCGAATTCCCAATACCTGAAACAACAACCATACCCTTTTTACTAGCTAAATCAGCAATTTTAGTCATATGTGAAATTTTTCCATTTAAATCTGATGCCACATTATACCAATCTTGATAACCTAAATAAAAAATTAGAAAATGAATAATTTCCTTTAAACAATTTTCTTTAAACAATTTGCATATTAGAAAACTTACCTAAACTGCATGATACCAAGTGGGCTCCCCTTGATTCACCCCATTCGATTGCTGATGCAAAATAATCTTCCTCAATAACATCCTCCATATCTAATGATTCTGTTCTTGCTAATAAAAATGATGCATTATATGCGGTCCCAACCAAATGCCCTTTTTTAAAACCGGCTAAAACTGATAGTGTTGCTGTTCCATGATCATTTTGCGAAAATTCAACTGATTCTGAAGTTCCATTAAATTCATCTTCAATCCTATTATTTTTTTCAATAAAATTGTATTCCCCTAATATATTTAAATTTTTGAAAACTTCATGTTGTTTATAAAACCCAGTATCTGTTATTAATATTATTACACCTGTTCCGTCAAACCCAAGTTTATGTAGTTTGTCTATATTTAGTTGCTTTATTTGTCTATAAGATTGACCATAAAAATCTTCATTAAATAAATTTTCATTTCCCATATCCATGTCAGAGTCTCCATTGTTGTTCTTGGATTTTTGTAATAGTTTTATATTGTTTAATTTATTAAATTTATTCTTTTTGTGTTGCACATGATTGGTTTGTTGATCTATTGTTGGTTTTTTAAATTTTGATACCAAATCGATGGATTCAACAAATGGTTTTGAACTGATACATGGAATTACATGGTTTCTAATATTTTCCATATTATTGGAAATTATTGTGATTGAAATCGAATTTAACCAATTTGAACGTTGATGAATTTGTATTTCATTATCATTTCCACATTGTAATACTTGATTAATATATTTTTCAGAAACTGGTAAATCGCTTTCCTCTATTATTGAGTGTTTATGAGAACCTCTTTTTAGTCTTCTTTCTATTGATTCTTTATTTAAACTTGTTAATGATAGCATATAGTCATTGTCTATATAATTATTATTATTATTATCTATTTTGAAATCTTTTGAATTAAAAAATACCCATATTTTTATTTTATTATTTTTATTATTTTCATTTAATGCATTTTTTAATTTTTCTGTTAATTTTTTATTATCATTATTACAATTTGAATAGTTTATTAGATATAAAAAAAGAAATAAAATTAAGGTTAGTTTCATTTTCTTTTTGTTTTATAATTATATATATTATTATTATGATTAATTAATTATTATGTTGGTTATTTATGGGGAGTGTAAATTAATTTTTTTAAAATTGATAATAATTTTTTTATAAAAAAAAAAAAATAATATATACAATTATAATTATAATTAAATAATGGTATGAAATTGTATTATTATAATAATTAAATATTAAATGATCATTATATAGAAGAGGGTGATGATATAATATAGAAGTTAAGCTGACATGATAAAATACAAGAGATCTATTTTTAGTTTTATTGCTATCTATTTGTATAATATTGGTAATAAAAAAATAATAATTAAAGGTAAAAAATTAAATTAAAAAAAAAATATATTAAATATAATAAAGAAAAAATAATAAAAAGCAATGGTGGGGGTAAAAAATGAATGTGTGTGGGTATGTCAATGTTGTTTTTAAATGCTCACATCACCCAGTCTAAAGATGGAAAAATAGGAAAAACCCCCACTCACACTCACACATTTGCAAATAAAAACAATACACAAAATACATGAAACCAAAAAAAAAAAAATTGAATTAATATTTATTATTGTTAATATTGTTATTTTTACTATTATTTTTAAATTGTTTTATATTTTTTTAAATTACATAAAGTTTATATATAAATAAAAAACTTAATATTTTAAATATAATTGAAAAATCATATAATAACAACCTCCACAACCACAATTTTACTTTGTAAGGTTTTCTTACAGATATTTCCTTTGGGATGATATTTTTGATATGGGAGGTTGCACAGAAGAATGTGGTCAAAACTATATAAAAGCACCCGAAGATTTATCTAATGCCATAAAAGGACATATTAGCATAATTAAATCAATAAAAAAAAAAGAAGATGGAACCCAAACATAATGAATCCCAACATTCAAGATTTTATTAACGTTGACTTGCTAGACTTAGATCTCTCTTATTTAAAAAAGGGCAGGTTTTCTAATGAAGAAGAAAATAAAGAAAATAAAAATAATATCAAAGATTTATTAATTTAAAATACATAAAAATATTATTTAATAAATATTATGGCAGTTATTTGATATAGCAAAATATTTAAATTTAAAAATCCTCTTAACAATATTTATGAATTTTAAAATACATATATATTTATATAAATTGATTATGATTTAAATATTATTATTATTATTAATATGTGCGTATATCTAATGTTAAAAAATCGAAAAATGAATACCCTAACAATATTCGGTAAAAAGTGATGATAACGATAGTATTTAATCTTATTTTTTACTTTATTAGTTTATTATTAAAAAAATTAATAAAGCTATTAATAATACTTTATTAAAAGAGATGTCGACATCTTTAAATGCTGAATTTGAGTTATGAGTACCATCGAAGCTCATTATTATTAATGGAGGTTTTGTTACTTTAAACTCTTCGAAACTATCATTGAAATTAGTTGTATCTTCGCAATTTTTAATCTGTAATATAAGTGGATTTTGATTATTTTCTAATATTTTTTGTTTTTTTTCATATTTGTTAACACATAAATAAGAGTTTCCCATGCTATTTTTTTGACATTGAGTAGAGTTTGGAAAATCGTATTGGCATCTGTATCCACATTCAATTCTTTTATATTGACAGAATTCACCATAGTAAGCAGTTGGGCATATACACTTATCTTTACAACAAATTCCATTATTAGAGCAACCTGTATAAGAACAACTTCCTAACATTGGTTTGAAATTTAATGCCTTTTCACTATCTAGAAGACCATATCCTAATAAATAGTGGGGGCTTGAAGACCATATACTGCCTCCTATGATCGCCTGGTGGATTTGTTTGGGGGTCCAAGTTGGGTGAGCTTGAATTAAAAGAGCTACAGCACCAGCTATTAATGGAGTTGAAAAGCTTGTCCCACTAAATTCAGAGTATTTTGTATTCGATAAAACATCTGCGACATTAACATTTATTCCCATTGCTTGTGTTTCTGGTTTATATCTTCCATCGGCAGTTGGTCCCACAGATGAAAAACTTGCAATACCACCATATTCATCGACAGCGCCTACAGCTATTACATATTCGCCATCATTTGGACCCCCGAATATACTAAAATCGTCGTTACCCATGGCATTTACAAACACAATGCCCTTTTCGATAGCAATGTTGGCAGCTTTTGTAGTTAGTGATTGTTTACCATCTAAATTAAAATAACTGTAATCTAAACTTAAGCAAAATGAAAGACTACTTGATATCACTTGGGCACCCTTATTTTCTCCCCATTCCAATGCTGCAATAAATTGGTCCTCTTCAAAAGTTGAATCTTCTTCTTCAGAGACTTTAATTTTACCCAATAGATACTTGGATTTGTATGCAGGACCTACTATTTTACCAACTTCAAAACCCCCTATTACTGATAAAACTGAAGTACCATGAAAATTTTCACCATTTTCTTTTAATCCTTTACTTCTAAGATCTTCATTAGTTTTGGTTTGATTGTTTGAATTAAAGAATTCTTTTTGATCAATTACAGTCATTGTTTTAAATGCTGGGTGTTTGAGATAAAAGTCATCATCTATTACTAATATTGTTATATTTTCTCCATGGTATCCTTTTTTATGCAACTTGTCTATTTTGAGCTGTTTGATTGGTTTGATTGAATCCCCATAAAAATCATCTGAAAAAATGTTACTTTCACTTTTAATATTTAAATCATTTATATCGGTTTCTTTAATGATTCTATTTGAGTTTGAATATTCTTTTTTTATCTTTGGTCGTTTTATTCCTTTTTTTATAATATCAATGTTATTAACAAAATTTTTTTCAACTATACACTGCAATATTGATTTTAAACTGCTTTTATCACTATATTCGAATTTGATATTTATTGATATTGAATTTAACCAATTTGATTTGTGACCTAGAGAAATTGTAGAGTTTATACCATTACATCCTAATATTTCGTTTGTATAGTCTTCTGAAACTGGTAAGTCGGCTTCATCTATAATTTCTTCTTTCTTCATCGATCTATTTTTTCTTCTTTCCAAAGATTCGGTAGATATTCCTGTGATTGTAATAACTTGATCATTTGAAAGTTCTTTTCCCGTAATTTTATCTATAAATAGGTTTTTTTCTTCTGACGAGTTTATTATATTTTTCGAATTAAAAAAAACCCATATTTTTATATTATTATTTATTTTGTAATTATTTATAAAATATAACACATTATTTAAATTTTTATCTTGTTTATAGTTATTATTAATGTTGTTATTGCTACTGTTGTCTAGTTCTATTGCATTTAAATATAATAAATTATTTAATATTATAAATAGTATTATAAAAAATAAAAATGGATACAATTTCATCACCATTTTTATTTATTTATATTTATGTATTTCTTTATTTTGTGTGTGGGTACGCACTTGAAATATGTGTTTATGTGTGTATGTATGTGTTAGTAAAAAGAATTTTAATAAATAAATAAATAAATAAAATAAATATAATTTGAAAAAAAAAAAAAAAAAATTAACTAAATTAAAATTAAAAAAAAAAAAAAATGAAATAAAAAATAATAATAATAAAAAAAAATATTTAATTAATAAATATACATATGAGAGTATATTTAGATATATAATTTTATATTTCAAGTATAAACCCAATAATTTGTTGTATAAATAGAAATAAATAAAATCAAAAATGACAATAATATTATTTTTTTTTATTCCCATTTAAATCATAAATACTATTAATTATAAATAATATTTTTTTTTTTTTTTTTTATTATTTTTTTTTTTTTTTTGGAGTGGGTGATGTGTGTGTATATTATTAGTATTTTTAAGTGAATATTGTTTTAATGAATGAAATTTGGGTGTATGAGTGTTATTTTTAGATTGAAACTTTATTATAATATTAATAATATTGATATAAATAGAATTTAAAAAATATTAATTTTAGCTCATCAATGTTCTTAATTTATCCCATTTAATTGTCGAATTTTTACATTGTTTTTTTTTTTTTTTTCTTAATATAGTAAATATTTTTTTTAAAGAAATAGATGGATTCGAAAATATTATAATATATTTTTATATTAGGAATTTTTTTTTTTTAGTTTTATTTGGTTTAAGCAAGTATAACTATTTTTTTTTTTTTCATCAGTTTTATCTTTCAAGATATAGATATGAAATGTTTTAAAATAGATAAAATGATAAAACTGTATCATTTGGGAGCCTATTTATATATGATTAATAATATTTTCTGACTCTTAAAAGGGTTTTATTTAAATAAAAAAATATTATGATTATGTAAACATTATATTTTTATTGAATTTGTATAATTATAGAATTATTTATAAATATATATTTTTTTTTTTAAATAGTTATTTATAATTTATTTATTTAATTTGGTAAACTTGTATTAATTATATTAACCCAAAAGTTTGCACATTTCATATGATAAAAATGTTTATTATGCTCTGTAATAGTGTCAATGAAATTATCCAAAGCGGTACCGCAAATATAACAGGCTTTTTGATTTTGAGAAATAGGAGTAGTATTACATGATTTCATACCATCATAGTATTGTTGGTGAGCATCTTGGAAGAATGAAACTAATTGATCCCAAATACCATTAATTTTTTTGAATACAATCGATGATTGGCTATTGCTATTAAATTGTAATGAGCTTGATAATGTATGGTTAATTTGATAAGCTATTGAATAGATCTCTGAAATAGCTGATAAGAAATCCTTGTATTTAATTGATTCTTTAACTCTTTTTCCTAATTCTTGATCATTATTAATTTGTTTTTTTAAATTATTTAAAACTTCCAATGATTGTTCTAACTCATCTAAACATGACTGTAATGTAATTGAGGTAATTTCAACTTGGTATTGATTTAATAGGTTATTTGCTTCTGTTGTTGCTGTTGCTGTATTTGATGTTTTTGAGACTGGTGTTAATGTAAAACCAAAATCAAAGCTATTTAAATCACTATTACTGTTATTATTACTACTATTATTTTTATTTGTTGATGGCTCTTTATTTGTTGTTATTAATGATGGATCTGTATTACTTAATACCATTTTAACTTGTTCGTTTTTTTCTTTTAATAATAAATTTTGAACAAAATTTTTTGATTTATTTTGTAATTCGATTGCTAATAATAAATCTAAATTGGCAGTTGATACTAATGATTTTTGTTCAAATTGGTTAAAGAATGATTGAATTTTATCTTTTGATATATTTTTGGATTCTAAAAGTTGTATCATTTGTCTAATTGTATAAAAATGGTTCATAAATTCTCTACCTGTATATTTTACTATTAATTGATTTAATTGTTCTTCACTGAGATCACTACTGTTTTTCATATGTTTTTGGCACTCTAATGCTTCTGTTAATCTTTCTTGACTAATCAATGTTTTATAGATATCTTCAAGTAATCCGCCATTATTAGTTGAAGATCTGATTGATGTTGATGTTGTTGTTGGTGGAATATTTGCAATAGTTGGTTTTATAAAATTATTATTACCAGAGTTGTTTGAAAATTCAAATTTATCAAACTCATCATTATGAGTATTTGATGATGTTGAAAAATCTTGAAATTCATCAAACTCATCATTTGAAGTTGGTTCTACTGGTTTCTCTGTACTAGTTTTATCGGTGGTTGGGGTATTTGAAGGGAGTAAAATCTCATCAAATGAAAAATCGGTAAGTGATGGTTTTGATGGTTGTGAAAAAGTATTTGAACTAGTATTTAATGTTGGCATTTTAATACTACTTGGGGTTGTTGATGTTGAAACTAATGGTACAATAATTGGTGGTGGTAATTTGGTTTTGTTTGTTGATGTCGATAATGATGGTGGAGGAAGAATACCAGCACCACTTAATGGTGAGCCGCTATTACTACTGTTTCTAATTGGCAATGGAGAGTTGCTTCTTGGTGGTGAGATAAATGATGATGAATTATTTAATGATGTAGCTAATGAGGGTGGTTGGGTTGATGGTGTGATTGAACCAATCGATGGAACCAACTCAATAGTATTTATTTGATTTAAAACTGGTGGTGATGGAATGGCGTTATTATTATTAAATGATGTTTTATCTACAGAGCTGTTACTTCCAAAACTTGCTTCTTTATTAAATTGCATACTTAAATTTAATTCATTATTTGAAGTTTGATTACCAAAATTGATAACTGTTGTTGATGGCTTACCAAAATCACCAAAACCGGAAGATGGGAAATCTGTTGTATTACCAAAATCACCAAATTCATCGTCTTCTTGTTTTTTTTGTTGTGGTTGTTGTTGTTGTGGTGGTTGTTGTTTAAGTGGTGATGGTGGTTGTTGTTGTGGTGGTTGTTGAGAAGGTATTTGTGATTGGAGGGGTGGTGAGAATGATGATGATGTTGTAGTTGTATTAAAATCACCAAATTCATCATCTTCATCATTTGTTGTTGATACAGATATAGTTGGATTTGTTTGTTTGGAAACAGAATCTGGTTTAGGTTGTTCAACTACCTTGGCTTCTGGAGCAGAGAAAAAATCTACCTCTTTGTCAACAGTTTCAAAAATATTTCTATAATTTCCACTTGACCAATTAAATTTAGATGAATCCCCACTGTTTGTATTCGTTGGTGATGGGGTATTAAATGCGGCTGGTCTTTTAATTTCTTTTAACATTTTCTCTAAATCAATTGGACCATCATCTTGTGGTGGTGCTGGTGGTGCTGCTGCAACTGGTGGTGGGTTATTACTTTTATCAATCGAGCCACTGTTATTTGATGAAACTGATGATGGTTGTGGCTGTAAATGTACTGGTTGGTTACTTTTACCTATGCTTCCGCTATTTGTTGGATTTTCGTTACCACTGTTAAATGGTAAACCAAAATTAAAGTTATATTGTTGTGGTTGTGGTTGTGATTGTAATTGTGGTTGTGATTGTAATTGTGGTTGTTGTGGTTGTTGTGGTTGTTGTGGTTGTTGAGCCATTTGTGGAGCATTAAAATCTGCTTCTGAACTCTCAAAGTCACCAAAATCATCTTCATCAGTATTAGCATTTGGTTGTTGTTGTTGTTGTGGTTGTTTGGATTGTTGTTGAAGATACTGCATATTATTTTGACCTGGTGGATAATTAAAACCTTGTTGTTGTTGATGTTGATTAAAATATTGCTGTTGTTGAAGCTGGTGTTGTTGTAAAAATTGTTGTTGTTGATGAGGTGTCATATTATTAAAACCTGGAAATTGTTGCTGTATGTGTTGAGGTTGTTTTGGTTGCTGCTGTTGATTTATCATACCATCGAAAGAATTAGTATTTGGTTGTTGTGGTAAAGGTTGTGTTGATGTTGGGTTATTATTAAGTTGAGATTTATCCACACTAAGTTTCTTTTCTACAGAATCTTTTTCAGCAGGTTTTGTATCTTCCTCAATCATATCTCTTAAAATATCGTAGTTTGGTATTCTCTTTCCACCTGAAGTTGTTGCTGTTGCTGTTGCTGTTTGTGTTGGTTGCAATACACCCTTTAAAAAAAAAAATTAATAACTATAAACGCAAAATTTAAAGTTTTTAAAGGAAAAACACATACATTAAAAAATTGTGGTTGTTCTTGTGGTGAAGGTGAAGTTTGTTGTTTTTTAGCTAACTCTGGAAAATATTTAAGTAATGGGTCTTCTGGTGTTTGTGGTTGTTGCTGTTGTGGTTGTTGTTGCTGTTGTTGAGGTGGTGAAACAAATGAACCAAAACCGTTATTCATTTGGTTAAATTGTTGTTGCTGATTAAAATTACCCATTTGGTTAAAATTTTGTTGATTATATAAATTTTGGTTACCTCCCATCATATTCATTTGCTGCTGGTTATACATCATTTGATTATAAAAATTTGGATTTTGTTGGTGTTGATTAAAATTACCTCCACCCATCATATTATTCATTTGATTAAATTGTTGTTGGTTATAAAAATTTGGATTCTGTTGTTGTTGCTGCTGCTGTTGTTGGTGCTGTTGTTGGTGCTGTTGCATATACATATAGTATTGCTGTTGCTGGTGTTGAGAATTAAATTGATTTTGCATTTTTTTTTATATATATATTTATAATATAAAAACACCCTAAAAAAAGGAAAAAATTAAAAAATTAAAAAAAAATTAAAAAAAAAAAAGTACTTTAAATTTATATAAAGTATACTTTATATAATATACTTTTAATTATTTCTATATTGTTTATTTTTTATTGTGATGTAAATTTAAAATAATAATAAATTTAATTTAATATATCTTTTTATTAAAAAAAAATAAAAAATAAAAAATGAAATTTTTTTTTAAAAAAAAATTAAAAAAAAAAAAAATAAAAAAAAAAAAATAAAATAAAAAAAAATTTGAAAAATAAAACGAAAATGTGCACTTGGTGCATTTGGTTATGAATGATTTTTATTTGGCAATTTCTTAAATTCATTTAAAATTTAATAAAAATGGAAATTAAAACTAAAAAGAAGAATAAATGAATAACCAGGGATAATTTTTATTATTCTGATTAAATACAGAATTTGATAATTTATTTTTTATTTTTTTTATTATTTTTTATTTAGTGGATTGAATTCACAACTTGAGTGATGATCATTAACTAAACCCATTGATTGCATGAATGCATATAGTGTTGTAGTGCCCACAAATTTAAAACCTTTCTTCTTTAATTCCTTGGCCATGGCATCAGATGATTCATCCCTGGTTAATGGAGCACCCTTTGAGGCATATTCACCCATTTTCGTTTTATGATTGACAAATGACCAAATAAATTTTGAAAAGTCCTCACCATCCTCGACCATTTTGATATAGGCATTGGCATTACTGATGATTGCATTTAGTTTTAGTTTATTTCTAATTAATTTTTCATTTGTTAATAATTGTTCTAATTCTTTTTCACCAATTTTTTCTCTGATTTTATATGGGTCGAAATTATAAAAACACTTTCTATATTCATCTCTTTTTCCCAAAACTGTAATCCAAGATAAACCTGCTTGTTGTGATTCTAAACAAATTTTTTCAAATAGTTTTAATGGATCCTTTTCAGGTATCCCCCATTCGAAATCATGATAGTTGATATAGATTTTACTGGTAGGTGGTACCCATGGACACCTTTTTTTGTTGTCACTATAAACTGGTTCTGGTTTAGGGAGTAGTTGTTTTTCTTTTTTTAATTTTTCTTTTTTTGTAACTGTTTTTTTGCCAGTTGTTGTTGTTGTTGTGGTGGTTGTTGTTGTTTTTGATGTTTTTTTAACTTTTTTCTTTAATTTTTCATCTTCGCTACTTATGTCACTATTATCACTATTATCGCTTATATTATCTTTTTTAATATTGTTGTTGTTGTTATTATTATTACTAGATAGAGAGGAAGTTGTTCTACGAGAAATACGTGAGCTCATTATGAATGTATTGGTATTGGTGTTAATTGTTGGTAAGTGAGTAATATTGTTTTTAATTGGTAGTGTAAATAAAGGTGATGAGATTTTGATTAGATTTGAAAACATATGTTTATTATTATTAATCTAATGTTTAATACGATATACTGTGTGCGGTATATAAATAAAAAAATTAAATTAAAAAAATTAAATTAAAAAAATATAAAAATTTAAAAAAAATAAATTTATTTTTGGAAAATTGGTTTTTCTTGTAAAATACCTGACCGCCCAAAAATCAAATGCAAACATACATATAGTGACACCCAATAATGAATCACCCCTTTATTTATAGCACTAGAAGTCTTTTAATGAGATTCTATTTACATAAAAGTATTTAATTTTATTTTTAATAGATAAATGAGAAAAAAAAATTAAAAAACTAAAAAAAACTTATGTGTGGGGAGAATAGTAAAAACACCACACCCCCACACATTAATTATAAACATGTAAAGATTATGGTATTAAATGATAAATACTAAAAATAAATAATTATAATTATAAATAAAAAAAAAAAAATAATAAATTTCTCTTTTATTATTTATTTATTTTATGATTAATCTTAATTTAATCTTAATTTAATCTTATTTAATCATATTTAATCATATTATTTAATCATATTATTTTAATTTAGTAGTGGTGGTTAAATTTATAATTCGATTTTATTATTTTTATTATTATTATTATTATTATTATGATTATGATTATGATTATGGTTTATATAAATTAGTTATTTAATAATTTTACTGATACTGCTTGTCTACCTAATTGTCTCCATCTCTTTAAAAACAAACTTTTATTATATTTTTCTTTTTTTCCAGTATGTGGATCGGTTATAATTACATGGGTGTTGGTGTAACCTGAGAGAGTGGCGCAATGCTCAGGTGAAACCCAAAATAATTGAAGAGAAGGATTCTGACAATCAAACCATTCATCTGTGATTCTTGGTTCTCTTAATTCTAGTGTCATCCAAATGATGATGGGTGTATTATATTGGGTCATATGATCGATTAATATTTGAAAATCGGAATCGTCGTCCAGTTGGTTGTTGTTAAAATAATCCAATCTAAGTTGTATATAATCTTTCGATTCATTTACCTTTAGACGATATGGATACTTTTGATCTTCAATGCCATCGATCTCATTATTATTATTATTATTATTATTTAAATTATTAATATTTTGGTTGTAATTTAAATTAGAGTATTGAGTAAAGTCTACAACTTGAAATTTTGTAATATTATCTTTATTTTCGTAGATTATAGATTCTAATAGGTTTTTTATTGGGTGATGAAAAGTACCGAATGATTCTTTACTATATGGTGATCCAATAAATGCACGTAAGGATTTCCTACTAATCTTGTGATGGGATCAGGATCTTGTTCCTTTTCAACCAATTCTGCTAATGTTTCTTTTTTGATTTTTTCAAGATCTAATTTACACTTATGGTCATAATATAAACTATTTAAAAGAATGGAGGTGGCTGTAACCTCACATCCAGTTGGCAAAATAGGATACTGGTATTGCTCTTTTGTATTAATTTCAAATTCACCTTTATTCATAATTTATTAATTTTTATTTTAATTACTACAACCACTACTATTATTTATTATTTAAATCAAATATTGTAAAATAATTAATTATTATCGTTTTTTGGTCAAAATATTCATTTCTTTTAAAAAAAAAATAAAAAAAATAAAAAAAATAAAAAAAGGGAAAAATAAAAATTTATTTAAAAATATAAAAAAATAAAAAATTTAAAAAAAAAATTCTATAAAATATTTGTTATGTATCATTGTAACGGTTTCGAAATAAATATCTCCAAGTTTTAGTTTAATATCTCCATTTTCTTTTTTTAAAATATTTTTAAATTTTAAATAAAATATCAACACTATCTTTTTTTTTTTTCTATTTATAAAAGATGATCGAAAAAAAAAAAACAGTTTTTATACATTTGGTATATAAAGTATCAAAATACACACAATCAATCACACACCCAATCACTTTATCCTTAGTTTTAAAGTATTCAGTGAATTATTGGGTGTGTGTGTGTGGTTTAAAATATAAATATAGTGGGTGTATTTTAAAAAAATAGTAAATTTTGATTTAATTATCAAAATTTATATATATATATATATATATTTACACAGAGATATACACCCAATCACACCATACATAACATAGACATAGACACAGACACAACAAAATACATACACAACAACTAAACACCAAAAACAACAACAACAACAATTTAAATTTATCTTTCGTGATTGGTCAATTCACTTTATTTTTTTAAAATAATAAAATTAATATAATCATCAAAAATAAATTAAATTTATCAATAAATAATTAAATAATTAAATTGTGTTATTATTATTATTTTTTTTATTTTTTGAAATCATAAAATTTTAAAATAAAAAAAAAAAGAAATAATAAAAATTTAAAAAAAAAAAGAGAAAAACAACCATAAAATTTGATTTAATCTCATCTATTAAAAATAATAATACATCATCTGACATAAAATAAAAATAGTTGATTAATTAGGCCTGTGGTTGTTGTTGTTTTAGTGTTTGATTTTATACAATATACTCTACTTAAAATTATACTATTTTTTTTATTTTTTTTTTTTTCTCTAACCCCACAATTTGAAAAAATTATAATAATCCATTCATCAGTCAGTACAGTACATATGTAAAAATATTTTAAACTTTCTAAATTTGTATTTTAAAAATTAAAAATAATAATCATAATAATAATCATAATAATAATAATAATAATAACTCTTTGATGGAAATTAAAATTTTAAATAAAATTTAAATTAAATAAAATTAAAAAAAATATCAAAATAAAATAAATTTTAAAAAAAAAAAAAATATAAATAATTTAATCCTTTCCTTCATTCTTACATCAATCCAATCAATTATACACCTAATAATAACTACAATTTATAAAATACAATTTTCATTATATAATTTAATTTATCACATAATTTTTTTTTTTTAAATTTAAAGCATTTCTATTTTTTATTTCCTAAGTTTTTTTTAAAGCATTTTATTTATTTATTAATTATTGTACAAAATTTGTAAATATGACATTATTTCGTATGTATATTTTATAAATTTATTAAAGAGAAAAAATATATATTAATTTTATATATATTTTTTTTAATATATAGAATCAATTTCAGAAATCTCACCAAAAACCAAAGTTATCCTTAACTCTACCTCGAATAATTTTATAAATACCGGGTTAATAATGGATAATAACCAAGTCTACTTTTTCAACTACACTATCCCAGGTCAAAAAAAGAATGTAATCATTAAATACTACTTCAAACCATAAATAAAAAATCAAAAAAAAAAAAGAAAAAAAATTATAAATTATAAGTTATAAGTTATAAATTATATATTCTAATTAACCCATCATCTATTTATTTATTTATTAAAAAAAAAAAAAAAAAAAGCAATAAATTTTATTATTTATTTTTTAAAAAAAAAAAAAAACTTTTATTTTATTGGTATGATTGATTCTTTTTACATGTGTGTTATTTTTTAATTTGAAATTCTTTTTACATCGTATTTATTTACATCTGATTCGATTTTTGGCTCTGTACCTTTATAATAATAATTATAGGATGCTATATGATAGAATGAATCTCTATTTGAAAGTTCGTTATTATTGCTACTATTGCTGTTGTTATTTTCATTTATGCTGTTACTAATAAAATCTATATGATATGTTACAAAGTTACCAAGTGGGTCATTGGCAAAATAAGTTTTATGATAAGGGGTTGAATCCTTAAATGATGGATCCCATGGTACCCATCCAATGGAATGAACGTAAAATTCGACACGAACATGAGTTTGATTATCATTTTCTGGTCTTTCCAACTCGGTGTTTCTACCAAATAATAGTCTGGATGGTATTCTATTGTATCTAAAAATAGCGGCTACTAAAACACAATGGCATGTACAATCACCCGATCTAAGCTCAACAGTTTTCAATGGTTCCAAGTTTCCTTCGTGTGGATATTTGTATTTAATGTTGGAGTAGATCCAGAGAGAAACACGATATGCAAAACAAAGAACACTTTCAAAGGTGCCATCTGAAAATCTCTTTGGGAACAATTGATATTGGTCGATAAATGATTTGAATTCGGTAGTGTTATAATTAATCTTTGATGTTGGTCTAAGATAAAAATCGAGCTCTTGTTGTGATATTGGTTCAACATTTGGTAAATTATCACCACTTTGCAATGGTACCAATAGTAACTTATACAAGTCAACATCAATTCTGTATTTTAATTTGAATATGGACATGCTATTATTGCTGCTTTTTGATGATGGTGATGATGAATTGAGTGTTGGAGATGATAATAACAATGGTGATGTTGATGAGGTGGATGATGATAATGAAGAGGATGATGGAGATGAGGTTAATACTGGTGATGAAGATGCAGAAGACGAAGACGAAGTGGAAGGTACATTAAATGCAATTTTAAACATTGATTGGAAAACTGAATGATTTTCAACTTGTGACTGAGCAATAATAGCATCTGTTACTGGATCATGTAGGGTAAATGATGAATATCTAATTCTCTGACTTTGTGTTTGTGGTGGAACTGGCATCCAAAACATTAATGTATTTAAATTACATCCTGGTTTAAATGTAATCAATTTTGTATAAACTGTTGAAGCTGAATAATTATAAACCCTATTTAATTTAAAATAATTATAATCCCATACTATAAAAAAATAATTAGTATTTAATATAAAAAAAATTTAAAAAAAAAAACTATATTTACATTGTTGGTGGATTGTATAATCATTAAGTAGCTGAATGAATGGTGGTGGTGAGTTTAATGTTATTGGAGTTTCTTTTATATTTGGTAAGGGTTTTGAAAATAGCTTATCACCATTTGATTTAACAACTTGGTTATTTGAACTATTATTATTGTTACTATTACTATTGTTAGATTTTGCTAATTCATTTTGAGATGGTTCATATCGTTTATTTGACGATTTTGGTGATGATTGATGATTTTGTTGATTTTGTTGATTTTGTTGATTTTGTTTTGAATTGCTATTGTTACTATTATTAGTGTTAATAGTAAAATTAGATAATTGTATTTGATCGAAATCTAAACTTAAACTATTTAATGGGTTATAAAAGGATGGCTGTTGTTCTAAAAGTATCGAGCTATTTGAATGAAGAGTCTGTAAGAATTGAAATAATTCTGAAAGACTTATTTGAATTTTAATGAGTGGATTGTCGAATCTTTCGATCTTGTCATTGAATAATTGATTTATAATTTGACATGTGTATTCTTTTAATTCGCTTATATATTTATTCTTGGGGTCTCCACTGTTTAAATTTGCTGATAACAATAATTCTACACTGTTATTTAAACTGTCGATTACATTTATATTATTATTTACTTTTTTTAAAATTTCACAATAATCTGAAATTGATTCAAAATTTGGCTTTTGTTTATCATTCCATTCTTTAATTCCTCCTTCCACATAACCCAGTATATTAACGCTGTACTCAGATAAAGGATGTCCTTGTTCAAACTCCTTTAAAATATATTTGATCGTACTTGTTTTGGCTAAATATAAATCTTTGATCGATTTAACATAATTATTTATCGATTCATTTATCAATAAACATTTATCGTTTAATTTTTTAAATTCACTTTTTATAAACTCAAAAGAGTCCAGTGAAATCTTTTGATTAAAAAAAAAAAAAATTAATAACCCAAAATATTTTTTTAAAAAAAGTTGGAAAATTTATTTATTTCATTCCAAAATATGGGAAAAAAAAAAAAAAAAAAAAAAAAAAAAAAAAAAAAAAAAAGCGGGTTTTTAATTTTTTGGAGGGGTTTTTATTTTATTAAAGGGAACCGCTTTTTTAAAAAGATTTGAACATACCCTCCCCTTTTTTCCGTATTGGCCTGGTTTAATTTTTATACATTTTTCACACATTTAAAAAAATCAAAATTAAAAAAAAGAAAAAAAGGGAAAAATTAAAAAAAAAAATTTAAAAAATTTAAAAAAAATAATATTTTTTTTCTTTAAATATTAAAAAAATTTTTTGGGGCCCCCCAATTTGTTTGATTGTTTTTTGCGTATTATTATTTGGTTCTTAGAAAAAAATCTCCCCAACCCCAATTTCATAACCGCCCTCGATGCTATGTTTGTTTTTTTTTTTTTTTTCTCATTTTATCAGCACCACGAGGATTAACAGGTCAAATAGTGTATTTTTGAAACTTAACACCCACCATGATTCCTTTTTAAGTTTTTTTTTTTTTTTTTTTTCAAAAAATCATCTTGCTTTTAAAAATTTGGGTTATTATAAATACGTTTATCTATAATGTTACAAATATCTGTATAATACTTAAATGATATTGATAAAATATCATAAAAATAATTTATAATAATAAAAAAAAAAAAGTAAAATAATTATTAAAAATAAAATTAATTTAATGTAAAATGAAAAACAAATTTAACCCACATTTCTATTTATGTTTAAATTTTATTTATTTTTATTTTAAAATATTTGTTTTAATATAATTTATTTAATTTTAAAAATAAAATATTTTTCATATGGGGTATATATTTTTAAAAAAAAAAAAAAAAAAAAAAATTTAGAAATTTATTAAAAAATTTTAAAAAAAATTATTTATTTCAAATAATAGAAATAAAAAAAAAAAATAGGTTCTTCAAAGTTGAAAAGGACAAAAAAAAAAAAAATAATAATAGTTTTTTAATAAATTATGATATTACCCTATTGTTTATATAAATATTAATTATTTATATTTCGAAATGAGTATAAATAGTAATACAATTAATAATAAAGAAGAAATGGCCCCAATTAAAACAGTTTCAACAGAGAACAATAGTGACAATAAAGGAACAAATAAAAAAGACAACAATAAAGATAGTAATAATAGTATAAATATTAATAATAATAGTACTAATAATAGTATTAATAATAATAGTATTAATAATAACAGTAATAATAATAATGATAAAGAATTATTAACAGATATTAATAATTTAAAAATCTCATTATTACCACCACCTCCACCCCCACCATTAAAAAAAAAAACACTTTCAAATAATATAAATAATGACACTAATAGCAATAATAAAATAAATTGTGTTGGTAATCTAAATATATCAACAAAATTATTGTTAGAAGGATTCAAAAGAGACACATTAACAAGAACTAAAACTAAAGTTAGAACATCCGATGGAAGAGTTTTTGAAGAGGAGTTATCGTCTAGTGGCCATAATATAGTTTACAAAGGATTGGACGAAAGTACTTCAATTAAAATTTATAAAGAGACTACAAACTTAACAGCATTTAATTATTGTAAAAAATTTAAACAATGGATCCCATATACACATATTGAAAATATAGTTTTACCACCTCAATCACCACCAATATCAACAAATAATGAAGATAATATTAATGATTTAAGCAATAGTAATAGTAATAGTAATAGTAATAGTAATAGTAATAGTAATAGTAATAGTAATAGTAATAGTAATAGTAATAGTAATAGTAATAATAATAATAGTAGTAACAATAATTTTAAAATTTTAACTTATATAACATTTAATGTTTGGTTTGATAGTTTTTTATGGAGAGAAAGGGCAAATCAATTGTTTAAACTAATTCAAGATAAAAATCCAGATATAATATGCTTACAAGAGGTTACTCCATTGTTTTTAGATTATTTAAAGAAACAATACTGGGTTAAGGAGAGTTACTGTATTTCGGATAGTGGTGACCTAGATACAGTTTATCCATATGGTGTGGTAGTTTTATTTAAATATGATTCCGTAGTACTCAAGCAAATGTCTTTATGTCCATTACCAAATACAAATCAATCAAGAAAAATGATTTCTTCAATATTTTCAATTCATAATGATAGTAGCAACAACATTACCAATAGTAGTAATAGTAGCAGTGGTAGTAATAATAATAGTAATATATTAATTTCAATATCAACAGTACACCTAGAAAGTTTAGATAGTAATTCAGAATCAAGAATTAAACAATTTAATATGGTCTCCGATTTTATAGATAAAAGATATATAGTATTTAATGGATGTCCTATTAAACACCACTTTATAATGGGCGATTTTAATTTCGGTTCAAATTCAATAGAAAATTCAGAAATTTCGAAAAGAGAGTTTAATGACGTTTGGAAAGAGTTCAACATTAATGACCCAGAGGGCTATACATATGTAAAAAAGACTAAGCGTGTAGATAGAATGATTTTTAAATCCTCCAAAGGGACTTTATTCGATTCAGTCCCTATTCAATCAGAACTCAAGCCTTTACAGTTATCTTTAATTGGGTTCGAACCCTTAGAATTAGATTCAAAAATCCGTAAAAATGAAAATATACCTTTAGAAGAACCGATATATGCAAGTGACCATTATGGTTTATTGGGAAAATTTAAATTTATTTTTAATAATAATAACAATAATAGTTAATCACGTGATGTTAATAATGTAAATATTTAAATCTTTAATTAAATAAAAAAGATAAAAAAAAAAAAAAAAAAAATAAATATTAAATATTAGAAAACATTTCGTAATATTCACATCTGCATCCTTTTCACTTTTTGGGAATCAACAGATACAATAATAACAGTTTTAAATGACACTATTATCACCCTTTTAACCCACAAAAAGAATTTTTTTTTTTTTTTATTTATTATTTTTTTTTTATACCTCTTTAATAATAATAATTTTTTTTACACCATTATTTAATTTTTTTTTTTTTTTAATTTTTATTTAATTTTTTTATATTAGCGTTCAAGCAAAACATATAATGAATTATAAAACAACATATAAATTAAGTGAACCATACAATTATTTAAGTGACTTAGAGTTTTCAACAAATGATCAAGAATCATTCTGGGATCAAGTTGCTAAAAAATATGTTTATTGGTAAGTAAATAATATATTAATGTATATTTAATAATTAAATAAATTAACTAACAAAGTTTTAAAACATTAGGGATAAACCATATGATCAAATATTCAATTTTAATGAAAAAACCAAAGCTTGTGAATGGTTTAAAGGTGGTAAATTAAATACTTGCTATAATATTCTTGATAGAAATATCAAAGAAAGAGAGAATGATATTGCTTTTGTTCAAGAGATCCCACAAAAGAATCTTAGATACCAGATCACTTACAGGGAGTTTTATGATCAAGTTTTAATTTTTTCAAGGGCTTTAAAGAATATTGGTATTAAAAAAGGTGATGTCGTAATGATTTATATGCACGATTCAATCCAGGTTCCAATTGTAATGCTATCGTGTGCTCGTATAGGTGCAACTCATAATGTCTGCTATAATGGGTTTTTTGTTGATAGTTTGGTTCAAAGTATAGAGGACAGTAAACCAAAACTAATCGTCACATCAAATTATGGATATGTTTACAATTCCATTCACTATAATTCTCTTACAATCAAAGAGTCCATATCAAAGTCATCCCATAAGCCAGAAAACGTTATTGTTTATAATAGAAAAGATTTTGAATGTGACCAACCTGAAAAATATTTAGAAATCAGTAACTGCAATTTTCTCGATTGGGATCAACTTATCAAAGATTTAGAACCTTTGCAAGAGTATGAACCTTTAGATTCGCTCCATCCAATATTTTTTTTGTTTACAAGTGGGACTACTAATAAACCAAAAGGTATACTAAGAGAGACTGCTAGTCAATTGGTTTCTTCAAATTACTTTATTAGAAACCAGGTTGGGTTACAACAAGGTGAAACTTGGTACTCAAAAGCACCATTGGGTTGGGCAAGTGGGCATACATGGACTGTATATGGGAATTTGGCAGTTGGTTCAAGAAGTGTTATAATTGAAGGTTCTTTTAATAGTGATACCCAGGTTGAAGATTATTGGGGTTCCATTGAAAGAAATAAAGCAAATAGAGTTTTAATCACACCCTCCACAATTAGAGTTTTAATTAAAACTGATCCAAATGGAGATATAGCATCAAAATTTGATTTGTCAAGTTTAAAAAAAGTTACCATCACATCAGAAAGATCACATCAGATTTTAATTGACTATTTAGAAAATAAAGTAGTAAAGAGACCCATTGTAAATAACGAATATGGCCAAACAGAGGCTGGAATGATTAATATTGGTTACTCACCATCTCAATACCCATCCCGTACAGATTCAATAGGCAAGCCCAACCCAGGTGGACATTACTTTAGGGTAGTTTCAAAATGTAAAAAAACAAATTTAATCACAGAATTAAAAGCAAATCAGATTGGTGAACTCGTTTTAAAGTTTCCATTACCACCAGGATATGTCGCAAGTTTAGTTGGGGATGATTCAGATGGCAGCCTATATAAAAAACAATTTCTCTCTGAATATGAAGGATACTTTGACTCGGGTGATATGGGTTACTATGATGAGGATGGTTACTTTTACTATGTATCTCGTTCAGGTGACACTATATCAGTAGGCGCACTACTTATCAATTGTTCAACAATCGAAAATGAAATCTTAAGACACCCCAAGGTAAGTGACTGTTGCGTCGTTGGGGTTAGTGATGATATTTTATTGCAGGTACCAATTGCATTACTCGTATTACATGAACAATTTTGTTATGAAACCGACTCGAAAGAAACTGAAGAGCTTTTTAATCAATTAAACCAAAGTATAGAAAATGTTTTTTCAATTCGTTTACAGTTAAAATCTATTATAATTGTTAAACAATTACCTAAAAACAAAACCAATAAGAAATTAAAATCTTTGGTAAAATCAATTTTCAATGGTTTGGAATTCACAATTCCTCCACTTATCGAGGATGTATCTGTCATAAATGAATTGGTAGAAGAGTATAATAAATATAAAAAAAACAATTCAAACAGTTCAACAATTTATAAAAAAAGATTAAACTTTTAGGTATAAAGAACCAATTTTATTTTTTAAAAGGGCAAAAAAAAAAAAAAAAAAAAAAAATATAAATAAATAAATGAGATACTTGAAAAATTGTCCATATAAAAATATCTCACTTACTAAAAAGTTTATTCTTCTTTATTGGTTTAAAAAAAATATATTTTTAATTTATTAATAAATTTTAAAAAAAAAATATTTTTAATTTATTAATAAATTTTAAATAAAAAAAATTTTTTTTTTTTTTTTTTTTGTGTTAATTTTTTAATTATTATAATAATAAAATAAATTTATAATACACACAGTTATTTAAAATAATAATAATATGGAATATCAGGATTTCGGTAATGTTTTGAATGATCAAGACGATATTAATGATTCAAGTGATGAAGAGAATTTATATAATACTAGTAGGTTCGATCCAAATGAATCTTTTAGTTTTATCGAAAACCTAATGCAAACCGATTTGTTAGAATTTTTGGATTCAGACAATGAAAATGATTCAGAAACAAATTTTAATAAAAAAATTGACAACATTATATTCAATTTATATGAATCAACAAATCAAAAATGTAATAATAAAAAAAAAGAAAAAAAAAAGAAACAAATTTCATTAGAAGAATTAAAAAGAAAAAAATCAATTTTAAAAAAACGTTGTCAATTATTGAAACAAATTGAAAAAAGAACCGACTCTATTCTAGATTTATATTTATCATATGATTTGCTGGATGATAAAAGAACAAAGAAAATGAAAAGAGAACATGTCAATCCCAAAAGAATAGAAAAAAATTTAAATAGACCTAATTTTTCCTATAAAATTAATAAAAAACCATCAATAGATAATGAAAAAGAATTAAAAAATAAAGATTGGGTTCAATTGACTGGTTTACCACAACATATTTTAGATTGGTTATATAAAAAAATAGAACCCCAAATAAAAAATCAAACTAATAGATTATCACCAAAATCAAGAATTCATTTATTTTTAACATTTTTAAAGGTATTTATAAGATATTATATCAAATGAATATTTTATAAAATATATTAATATTAATATTTCAACCAATACTTAAATTAGATGGGTGCTAATTCATATACAATACTTTCAACAACTTTTGGTGTTAGTCAATCATATATTTCAAGAGAAGTCAATGAATTGGTTTACATATTTTTGTCTTCACTTTACATTATTTCTTTAGATCAAATTAATAAAGATGAAATATATTGTATTGATTTTGCACATAAAAGAGAAAGAGATAAGGAAGATTATCTTAGATTGGATGTTGGAGAACCAAGTTTATCATCAAAAGTTTTAGTTTTAAAAATATCAATTTTTTTATATTTAGATTATACATTTTTCAGGAGTTGCTCTCAAGTTAATCATAACTAAAGGTACAACTCCAAAAAGATATTGTATAAATTCTAATTATAAAATTGATAACTATTATTATTTTTATTATTTAGCTATTATGGTATTTATTGTTTATTTGTTTATTTGTTTATTTTTTATTTATAATGATAAAGCTTTTTTGAATAGCTAAAATTAAAATATTGAATTAAAAAAAAAAAAATGAAAGGAAAGGAAATTAAAGTTTGGAATTATAGAATTTAGATTAGCAAATTTATTATTAAATCAAATTTATTTAAAATAATTTGATTTAAATAATAAAAAAGGGATGGTCATCTCTTCCTTAAACAGGGCGAAGTAGCATGTCTGTACTTCAAGACTACCCACCATAACTAACCACAGTTATTAAAAACTTTAAACTACCAACGCGCAAGGTAAGAAAAGTATATAGTAAATAAAGAAGAGTAGGGATATAGTTATTCGCTTCTTGATTTATACAATTTAAATTGAATGGCCGAACACACACACATACAGATTAATAACACAATAAACAAAAACCAATACAATTAATTGACACAGAAGATTCTTATTATGACTATATATATCTCTTGCGGTTTAAATATCTAGTATTTCTTTAAATTAATAAAAAACCCTTGGGGATTAAACCATAGGCAATTTATATCGTTATATTATTTCTAAATAATATCAATCGACATTCAATTTAATTTAATCTCTTTATTTTTCCTCTATTTCTTTTTTAATTTTTTATTATTTAATTATAATTTTTTTATTATCATCAAAATATATTTATTGCTGTTATTGTTTTATCTTACCATTGGTTATTTAAAATGATTTTTTTTATTTAAAAATTTTCATTTTATATTTTTTTAAATTTATCCCCATTTTCAAATTTTTTTCTCAAAATATTAAAATATTTTATTTTTCTAAAAATCTTTTAAAATAATTTTCTTTATTAAATTTTTAAAATAATTTTTCATTAATTAAAGATATGAAAAAACAAAGAAATTTTCTCTTTTCATAAATTTTTTTTTGAATATTATAATAAAATATTATAGTTATTACCATAGTAATTTTTTTTTTTTTTTTAATTTTTTAAAATTTTTTTTTATTATGTTGTGTTTAAAAAATTAGATGATTACCAATGATTGTGATTATGGCAGATTTACATTTTTTTCTTTATTTAATTTAATTATTAAAACTATTAATTATTAAAATTTATTTATTAAATGATTATTTAATTAAATTTATAAATAATTTAGTTTTTAAAATATTGATTGGTTTATCTATGCATGGATGCTTTACAAGTGAATCTAAGTGGTGGTTTTTTACTTGCATGGTCCAATAATTGTTTCAATTTCTATTTATTGTTTTTTGGTGGTGGTGTAAAGTTTTGTTGAAGAGTTTTGATATATGAATGGTGTAAATCTTTTAATAAATTCTTATGAGTACTGCATGACCTCCTGTGCTGAAAACATTATGGAATTTTGAAAAACTAGTTGAGATAAAAAAGTAATTGTTGATATTGATCTAGATGAAATGATGCCCTGGATTATCTCTAATTTGAAGGTAGGGCTTTGTAAATAACCAACTTTTACTTTTTTAAATTGTCAGTTTCATTATTTGATAATGAAAGGGGTGAGCTATCAGAAGTGCTACATGAATTGCTATTTAAACTTGATGAGGAGCTTGGACAAATTGGAGAACTTTTATCTGGTCCATTACTAGTTGAATTATCATTGAAGTGGTTAGATAATTCATAACTGTTGCAAATTGGAGCATTTGAAAAAAATTCAACAGATGATTTGGCCATATCATCGTATTGTTTTTTTTTCAAAGCTAATTTAGATTGTGAATCTTTTAATTTTAATCTTAGTGATAAAATTTCTTTTTTTGCAACCTTTTTTATTTCAGATAATTGCTCTGATGCATCGTCCAATCTTGACTCTGCACGTACTCTGAGGGCATTAAATTTATAAGCCTGAACTTGAATTTCATTATTAAGTTTCGAGTTAGTTTCTTCAAGCTCAATGGTTTTCTAAATTAAAAGAATAAAATAAAAAATAAAATAAGATATTAGTAAAAAAGTTTTGATTTATAATATTAAATATTAAAAAACATTTGCTGATCATTAATAGTTAATATTAATATTGATTTATCAATAATAACAATTTCTATTTTAATATTTACCTTTTTTAATTTTGCTGATTCAGTTTCTGATAAAGGTTGATTTAGTACATTCTTCATTTCATTTTCATAAACTGATAGCAATCTTTTTAATTTTAAAGAATTATTTTAATTTTTTTCTAGTTTTGATCTAATAACCGCATTTTCATTTGATAGGATTGCCTTTTCTTCGGAAAACTAAATATTTTTAATAAGTAAATATTAATAAATTATTAAATATAGTTTATGTTAAATGAAACTTACTTTCATCATAATTTCATTCTTTTGGTTTTCCAAAAGATGATCAACATCTTCTTTATTAAACATTTTAACATTATTATTTTGTTGATGTTGTGGACTATAGTATTTGATGATGATTGCGGTACTAATGAAATTAAATAAAGAAAAAACAAAAATAAAGAAAACAATGAATAAATAATCTAAATTATCTAAATCAAACATTTTTATTATTACTATTAACAATAAATTGTAGTGGTTAAAATATATATACAAAATAAATAAATAACTAATTAAAAAAAAATATGGTGATAACTAA